GTTCACATACAATTTTTTCCTTTAATTGATCGTCACAGTTCAATAATATTTTATTTGCCCATTTATTCTAAATGTGTATTTCATGTATTTTTGCTTCATTACTATTCATCGAATTTCACTTTTATACCCTCCACCAAAAAAAGTATGGAGGGTATATTAATATATTCGTCATTCCGTTTGTAACTCATCGAAATAATCATTTTAGACCCAACAAAGTATATATATTCTTGATCAGCGTAAAATTCTAAGACGATTTAGCCCTGTCCGTCCGTCTGTCCGTCTGTTGTAATCACGCTAAAGTCTAAACGAATTAAGATAAGAAGAATTTTGCACAGATCTCTCTTTTGTCTGCAGGCAGGTCAAGTTCGAAGATGGGCTATATCGGTCCACGATATCGTATAGCCCCATGTAACGGTACCCCCACGGAATTCGGTATTTTGATGATTTTAGCCACATTTTTCAATGGAATTGTCTTAAATTCCACAAAAGGAGTCCCTTGTGGACACTTTACCCCCTCAAAAAGAATTGTCTATATAGGTCCACGATATCGTATATCCCCCATATAACTGTACACCCCGATATTCGGTATTTTGATGATGTTAGCCACATTTTTCAATGGAATTGTCTTAAAATCCACACAAGTAGTTCCTTGTGAGTACTTTACCCCCTGAGAGAGAATTGTCTATACAGGTCCACGATATCGTATATCCCCCATATAACGGTACCCCCACGGTATCCGGTATTTTTATGATTTTACCCACATTTTTCATCGGAATTGTCTGAAAATACACACAAGGAGTTCCTTGTGGGTACTTTGTACCTCGGCGGAGAATTTTCTATATAGGTTCACCATATCGTATAGCGCCCATATAACGGTACCCCGATATTTGGTATTTTGATGATTTTATCCACATTTTTCAATGGAATTGTCTGAAATTCCACAAAAGGAGTCCCTTGTGGGCATTTTCCCCCTCAAAAAGAATTGTCTATATATGTCCACGATATCGTATATCCCCCATATAACTGTACCCCCCAATATTCAGTATTTTGATGATGTTAGCCACACTTTTCAATGGAATTGTCTTAAAATCCCCACAAGTAGTTCCTTGTAAGTACTTCACCCCCTCAGAGAGTTGTCTATACAGGTCCACGAAATCGTATATCCCCCATATAACGGTACCCCCCGATATTCGGTATTATTATGATTTTACCCACATTTTTCATCGGAAATGTCTGAAAATCCACACAAGGACTTCCTTGTGGGTACTTTATACCTCGGCAGAGAATTATCTATATAAGTCCACGATATCGTATAGTCCTCATATAACGGTACCCCCGATATTCGGTATTTTGATGTTTTTAGTCATATTTTTCAACGGACAGAGAATTCTCTATATAGGTTAACGATAACGTATAGCTCCCATATAACGATACCCCGCGATATTCGGTATTTTGAAAATCCACACAAGGAGTTCCTTGTGAGTACTTTACACGCAGATTGTCTTTATAGGTCCACAATATCGTATCGGCACCTTCCTATATAAGATATTTTAAAGACTTTAAAAGAATTTTTAATGGATTTATTTTTTTTTTTTTGAACATTTTCTAATTCGTTCCAAATGGTGGAGGGTATTCAAAGTTCGGCCCGGCCGAACTTACTGCTTTTTTACTTGTTAATTTTTAACTTTGTTCCTTTATTTCTTGTCAATATTATCCTTTTTTTCTTCTATTAAAACTTATTTCAACTTATTTATTTCCACTAATTTTAAAAGTTAATTTTCATTACTATTCATCGAATGTCACTTTTAATTTTTTTTTAATTTTTAACTTCGTTCTTTTTATTTTCTTTATTATACCCTCCACCATGGGTAGGAGGGTATATTAACTTTGTCATTCCGTTTGTAACACCTCTAAATATTCGTCGTAGACCTCATAAAGTATATATATTCATAATCAGCATAAAATTCTAAGACGATTTAGCGATGTCCGTCTGTCTGTCTGTCTGTCCGTCTGTCTGTCTGTCTGTCTGTTGAAATCACGATAGAGCCCACATTATTTGACGTAGACCTTTGAAATTTGGCACAAGTGTGTGTATTGTCCCTAGGATGGTTGGTATTGGAAATGGGATATATCGGTCCACGTTTTGGTATAGCCCCCATATAACGGTACCTTCCGATATTCGGTATTTTGATTATTTTTGCCACATTTTTCCACGGATTTGTCTAAAAATTGACCTTTGTAAGTAGTAATGGATTCTAGCTCCAGTGGGGTAACATTATATGTATGGGTCCACGTTTTCATGTAGCCCCCATATAACGGTACCTCCCGTTATTCGGTATTTTGGTGATTTTTACCACATTTTTCCACGGATTTGTCTAAAAATTGACCTTTGTAAGTCATAATGGATGCTGGCTCCAGTGGGGTAACATTTTATGTATAGGTCCACGTTTTCATGTAGCCCCATATAACGGTACCTCCCGATATTCGATAATTTGATGATTATTGACACATTTTTCCACGGATTTGTCTAAAAATTGGCCTTTGTAAGTCATAATGACTTCTAGCTCTATTGGGGAAACATTATATATATAGGTCAACGTTTTCATACAGCCCCTATATAACGGTACCTCCCGTTATTCGGTATTTTGGTGATTTTTACCACATTTTTCCACGGATTTGTCTAAAAATTGGTCTTTGTAAGTCATAATGGATTCTAGCTCCAGTGGGGGTAACATTATATGTATAGGTCAACGTTTTCATATAGCCCCCATATAACGGTACCTCCTGGTATCCAGTATTTTGATGATTTGTTGCCACATATTTCCACGGAATCGTTCCGATGATATGAAGATATTGATATTAAAAGTTTGTAGCGGGTGACAAAACATTCGCTGTATAGGTCCCCGTTTACTTTAGACTCCATATAACGGTACCTCCCGATTTTTGGTATTTTGATAATGTAAGTCGCAATTTTAAACGGAATTGGCCCAAATTTGTTATTTGAAATTTGTAACAAGTTCTTAATCCAGTGGCTAAGCATTATATAATATTCAATTTAGTATTTGGGGTTTGCAATGGGGTATGACATTGTATTTATAGGTCTACGGTAGCAACAACTTTATTTGAGTATGTATAGCGCCTATATGATGGTTTATAAAAGTTGTTATTGTTTGTGCCACAAATTTAGGGTAATAGATTTTAGTTTATCGCCACAGGTAGTATGGTTGTGATTTTTATTGCCTCTGTTTGCTTGATCCTGTTTTTGTACTGTTTCTACAGGTAGTACAGAGTGCATTTTGGTAACAATAACATAATAATTAAATGTACCTGTGGGTTATATAATCAAAACTCTCTTAAATTACCAGTAAACAAAGGTTAACCATAATAATAAAACTAATGTAATATACCTGGCGGTAATAAAACCCTCCCACTCGTCAACTTGGTTCATATACCTGGTACTCTACGCAGATTTTTACAAAACATCTTACCTGGGCAGTAAGTATTTGTGTATATAATAAACCAACTCAACTTTAACAAATCAGTTCACAACGAATCGTTAAACAAAACATAACTTAATACCAACGAAAATAACTGAAAAGTTTTCTATACAGATTTAAAACTGTTCCAATTCGACAATCAATAATTATGCCTAAACTACGTAAACAATCGGCACTACAACGAATTATGAGGCAACATCTTCACAGTTACCGTGAACGGAATTTAAATGACGATCGGCTCAGAAACTCTCAACAGTTAGCAACAAGGAGACAGGATCCTGAATATAGAGAAAATGAGCGAGAAAGGGATAGAGCAGCACATTCAACTCGGCGCCAAGCAGTAAACTATAGATCTGCGGAACAAGAACGGGACATTTTGGCACACTCTATTCTCCGAATGAATTCCAGTTATCGAGCAACTGAACAGGCGCGCGATGCTTTGGCTCACGCTAATCGAAGAATGGATCCAACGTATAGGGAAGAAGAACAACAGAGGGACACATTGGCCCATTCAGTTCGAAGGATGGATCCGACGTACAGGGAGGAGGAACAACAAAGGGACACGGTAGCCCACTCAATGCGAAGAAGGGATCCGACGTATCGCGAAGAAGAGCAAGAGAGGAATACACTTGCACACTCTATCCATCGGATGAATGCGACATTTCGGGAAGGAGAACAAGAGAGGGATACTGTGGCTCGATCTGTTCGGAGAATGGATCCAACATACCGGGAGGAGGAACAACAGAGGGACACTTTGGCCCACTCTATTCGGAGAATGGATCCAACATACCGCGAGGAGGAACAACAGATGAACACTTTGGCCCACTCTATTAGGAGAATGGATCCAAGTTACCGGGAGGAGGAACAACAGAGGGACACTTTGGCCCACTCTATTAGGAGAATGGATCCAACTTACCGGGAGGAGGAACAACAGAGGGACACTTTGGTCCATTCTATTCGAAGAATGGATCCGGCGTATCGTGGAGAGGAACGAGAAAGGGACTCTTTGGCAAGATCTATTCGGCGACAAAATGAAGAATACCGCCAAGTCGAAAGAGAGAGAGACACAGCAATGCACCGAGTACGTCGAAGAAATCCAGTTTTCCGTATTATGGAACAAGAGCGGAACACTTCAGCTCGTCGTGTCACCAGACAAGTTGCTAAGCAAATGCAAGAAGCAGAAAACAGGATGAGAAGTTGCCGCGTCCTTATTCATCGTATGAATCCTACAAACAGAGAAAATATAAACATGAGACAAGCTCTGAGAAGTTCAGCAAGGAGAAGAAATTTGTCGCCGGAATCGAGGTCACAACAACAAATTCAAGATACTTTGAGGTGCAGAGCTAGGATAATTTCCAATTTTTGCAATATTATCAAGAGCGGACCCACAGAAGTTTGTATTTGTTGTGGAGGTCTTTGGTTTGTTACTCAAATTAAGACTCTCCGCAAAACATTTGTTCTACAAAAATACCCAAATTTAAGTACAGTTTTTTTCCAGTTTCCATCTGATAACGATATATATAAATTCTGCAACACATGCCACAAAATAATCAATGCGGGGAAGGTTCCTTCTATGTGTCTCTCAGAAGGTCTACATTTTCCAGCTATTCCGAGTGAACTTCAGGGCTTGACGTCGCTGGAAGAAAGGTTTGTTGCGCCACGAATTCCCTTTATGAGAATAGTTTCATTGGGTTATAATCGACAGTGTGCTGTAAGGGGTGCAGTAGTAAATGTCCCCATTTCACTCGATTCCACCGTCAACGTCCTTCCAAGAACGTCCGATCAAACTGAAGTTATCCAGGTTCATTTGAAGCGAAGAATATCTTACACACACTATTTTATGTCTGAAACGATTCGGCCCGGCAAAATTTTCGAAGCAGCAAGATACCTTATTGAAACCGAATTGTACAGGAAACATGAAATTTGTATTTCATCTGAATGGTTGGCCAATATGGGTCCTGCTGATCAAGTGCCGTTTATAGCAAATTCCGAAGATCGAAGTCTATTATCGAGCGTCATTGATTTTAACTTAGATGAAGATCACATTGAAGAACATAACCCCCAAGAAACCCTCTTAGATTATATTCCAGTCGAAAATGTTCAAATTCAAAATATTGAAATAGCTCCTGGTGAAGGCCATAGACCCATGGATTTGCTATTAGATGAGGACTCTGAAGAGCTATCATTTCCCACTATATACTGTGGTATTAAAAGAAAATCTACAGCGACAATAGCAAAATTGATAAAATCTGAAGCCCGGCGTTATGATAGAAGATGTGCGCGGGTAGACAAAGTCTTATACTCGTATAAAAAATTAGAGTTTTCTAAAATCAAGAACAGTATTTCTACTTGTTTGAGGAAGAAATTTGGTACTCGCAATTATACTGCAACGGATGCTCTTAATGACCGGTTCATACAAAATATAGTGCAGCACGACGAAGGGTATCACATTTTGAAAGGCGTGCGGTCTTCTCCAGCACATTGGGAGGCAGAGAAAAAGAAGGTCTTGGCTATGATCAGGCAATTTGGCATTCCAACGTTCTTTATAACTCTTTCTGCTGCTGAATCACAATGGCCAGAATTGATCGTTATATTGGTAAAAATTGCAGAAGGAAGGAATATTACCGAAGAAGAGGCAATGTCATTTAGCACCCAAAAACGGTACGAACTAATTAGGTCAGATCCAATTACATGTTCCAGGTATTTTGACCACAGAATAAGACACCTCTTCAAAAGTTTCACGGTTAATGGTGGAATATTCGACGAGTTTAATGTAATCAAATTCTACTGGAGAATAGAATTTCAACAGCGAGGGTCTCCTCATGTCCACGGCATATATTGGCTAAACAATGCCCCTTTGTTTGATATATCAGATCGAAATAGCTTCCAACGTGTTACGGATTTTATAGATAAATTTGTTTCTACAGATTCGTCTAATAGCGAAATCCAAGACATAGTCCACTACCAGCAACACAACCACGGAAGAGCATGCCAACGTGAAATAAGAGGTCAAAAATTCTGTAGATTTCATATACCATATCCGCCAATGTCTAATACGGAACTTCTTTTGCCGTTTTCGGATGATGTAGATGAGCAACAATTATCAGCTCATAAGTGCAACTATGACAAAATTTATAATTTGCTTAACGCAAAGTTAACAGATATAGAATGTGAACGATTAAATAATTTTGATCAGTTTTTGGCAGACCCACGGATTAATATGGACAAAGATGAATATCTTGCGGCGATCAGGTCTTCTATAAGAAAACCTAAAATTTTTCTTAAAAGATCCTTCAAAGACAGATCAATAAATGCTTTTAATTCGCGGATTTTAAAAATGCACAAAGCAAACATGGATATTCAATTTGTTCTGGATGCTTATGCATGCGTGTCATATATAGTTAACTATATAAACAAGTCGAATCGGGGTGTTTCACGTTTGTTGCAAGAAACAATGAACGAGATACGTGAAGGAAATTATTCTGTAAAACAAAAGTTGCAGCATATAGGTAATAAATTCATATCAGCATCCGAAGTCTCAGCCCAAGAAGCAGCTTACAATATCTTGGGAATGCATTTGTCTCAGTGTAGCAACAGTGATGTTTATGTCAATACTCTCTTGCCAGAAAAACGTGTTCGCATACTAAAACCGAGGCAAGAGCTTCAAAATCTTTCTCCTGATTCAACCGATATTTATGTATCGAATTTACTTGAGCATTATATTCAAAGACCGGATAATCTAGGCGATGTATGTTTGGCTTATTTCGCTGCACATTATACATACTCTAAGACATTGCGCAAAAGGAATCGTCAACATGATGAGGAGGATGAAGATATTCTTGAAGATGACGAGGAACATCCTGATGATGTCGGGGCTTTGTTTCGCTTAAAAAATAATTCGGGTTACGTATATAAAAGAAGAAGTCCGGCTATAATTCGTTTTCCCTCATTTAGGGCCGACTTAAACAGGGACGACTATTTTCGAACATTGGTTATGTTATACTTTCCATGGCGTAACGAAGACGAAGACATTATAGGAAGAAACAACGAAGATACCTGCTCTATCTACATGGATGTAATTGAAAGGAACCGACAGCAGTTTGAAATGTTCAAGGATGGTGAATTACATGATATATTGCAAAGTATTCGTGAAGACAGTGATGGTGGTGAAGACCATGCGAGTAACGATAACATTACAAGTGACCAACTTTTAGACGAGGAGTTTAGAGCCTTGGTTGTTCCAGAATTAGAGGAAAATATAAATGTCTTCGACATTGACAACCACCATGAAGATGACCTGGAATCAGAAGCCAATGTACACTTAGTAAGACTCCCACCATTAGTAAATTTCGAAGAACTTCAGCATTTAATCAGAACGCTGAACAATAAACAGCGGTCTTATTTTCAACATCTTTTACAAAATATAGTTCAGAAAGTTCGATTTTATGAGTATGTTGCGGGAGGAGCTGGCGTAGGAAAAAGTCGCCTTATAAAAACCATTTATCAGGCAGTTACTTTTAGATATAATTCTATACCTGGCGCTAATCCGGATTTGCCAAAAGTATTATTAAGTGCTCCTACCGGAAAAGCTGCTTTTGGAATTGGAGGTGCGACATTACATTCACTTTTTTCCCTTCCAGTAAACCAGTTCCGAGGAGAGCTACGTCCACTAAGCAGTGATCTTGTTAATAAGCTCTTGGTTAAATTTACAGATCTGAAATTGATCATAATAGACGAGGTCTCCATGGTTGGATGTAGAATGTTAGGTTTCCTTGACGCACGCCTGAGGCAGATTTTTAAAACCACTGAAGCCTTTGGAGGAATCTCTATAGTTTTGTTCGGAGATCTAAAACAACTGCCTCCAGTTGGGGATAAATGGATATTTAGTACCAATACTGCTAATCCATACCACATCCTCGCAGGGGGTGGCTTGTGGGATCTGTTTTCCTTTAATGAGCTAACAGAGATAATGCGACAAAGGGAGGACCAAGATTTCGCGTTTGCACTGAACCGAATGTCAACTGGAGAAATGACTGAAGAAGATGTTTCGCTCATAAAGTCAAGGGTCATACCAACATCGGAGATACCAAATGAAGCAATTCATTTATTCCTGTCAAACGAAGAAACCGATAATTATAATTCCCTTAGATTGGAACAAATCACATCAGAACAATTTGTTTCCAAGGCATCCGATATTTTGAAGTCAGATTCATTAGCTATCGGTCAACGGAATCAAATTTTAAGTTCGGTTCTCAATTTAAAGACCTCAGAAACGCAAGGACTTTGTAGTGAACTAAAATTAAAATTGAGTGCAAAATATATGATGACGATCAATATTGATACCAACGATGGCCTAGTCAATGGAGCCACTGGCATACTGAAGTATATTGATTTTGGTAGAAACTCAACAAAACCAATAACGCTTTGGATCTTATTTTCTGATGAAAGTGTTGGAAGAATGGCGAGAAAAAACCACATCCCACAGAATTATTGTGGACTCCCATTGAAAAGTGCCGCCGAACGTTCCAGTACAAACGGAATGAACAAATAACTATAGAACGCTTACAGTTTCCATTGGTAGTTGCAGAAGGTATAACCATACACAAAAGTCAAGGCGCAACCTATGAAAAAGTTGCTGTTCATGTTCGGAAAGGTATGAGTAGGGCTTCTCTCTATGTCGCTTGTAGTAGAGCCACTAAAGCAAGTGGGCTATACATTATTGGAACATTTACTCCACCAAAACCTTTCTGCAGCTCTGATGTTGTCAAAATAGAATTGGAACGGCTTAGATTGCATAAAGCCATACACTTGCAGCATAGTAAGTTTAACACATCGAATAACGCTTTCACAATATTTTATCAAAACATACAAAGTCTGAGTGCTCATCATTCTGATATTTCTAGTGATGTCACTCTAATGCATTGTGACCTATTGTGTTTTGTGGAAACGTGGACATACCCGGAAGAAGAACTTTTCTTTGACAATTTCTCAATATTGTCACGAATAGATTGCAATCATACTGAAGGAAGAGTAAGAGATAAGAGGGGTATCGCAATTTATATTAAGAACGAAAAGTTTTCTGAGGCAAATATTATTTGTCAAAAAGATCTAAGCAGAGGCAGAAAATCATTTCAGTATTCCCTCATCCAATTCAGAGATATGTATCTTATAGTACTTTACAGGAATTCTTCATATCCCGAATGCAACTTCAAACGTATTTTACTTGAAGCTATATGTGATATTAGAGAACGTTTCGGCGATAATTCAAATATTGTAATTGTCGGGGATTTCAATATCTGTAGAAGTAGTCGAACTAGTACAATTGAAACTGCTCTTCGTTCAATGGGCTTATTATCAAAGTTGGAGAGAAATATACCAACAACGAATCACGGTACGCACATCGATTGGGTATTTAGTAAAGAAAATTTAAATATTAATTGTAGCACTTACGCCACAGTTCACAGCCACCATGATGGAATAGTAATATATAATTAGAATTTTATACTTATAATATAGAATGTAAACACATTTTTTAATAGATTTAGTTTTTATAGAGTTTAGTAAAATATTTTATTGTTTACTCTGTAATCTGTATTAATATATAGATTTATGTTTGATCATAAACATAATATTAATGCAATGAATGACGAATTCGATTCATGTATGACTTCTATATATTTAATTATATTGAAATCCATATTAAGAATAAAATGTAAAATAAGATAACGTTAATTAAGATAGCAATAATTAGATTGTATTTAGACAATGAATTTTAGGTAATAAAAAACATACAGATAAAAAACAAAATAACCATTTTTTATGTTTTGTGTTAGAATAAGAATTTGATGTACAGATGAGGGTTCTTTTCAGATTTGGCGTTTCAAACATGTTTCTAAAACGTGTTTATTTCTAATGTGTACAATTTTCTTATGTGTACAATTTTTTCTGTGAAAGTTATGAGAAAGGAAAGGTGTTTCAAAAAAAATGTTTACATCCGTTTGAAAGAAAAGAAAACAAATATTTAGTTTTACTTCAAACACTAATTGTGGTGGAGGGTATACAAAGTTCGGCCCGGCCGAACTTAACGCCTGTTTTACTTGTTTATTGCCAATATTATTTTTCTCTTCTTCTTTTAAAATTTATTTCAATTTATTTATTTCCAGTTTATTTTTTGTTTCATTATACCCTCCACCATACATAATATGGAGGGTATATTAAGTTCGTCATTCCGTTTGTAATTCATCGAAATAATCATTTTAGACCCAACAAAGTATATACGTTCTTTATCAGCGTAAAATTTTAAGACGATTTAGCCCTGTCCGTCTGTTGTAATCACGCTACAGTCTAAACGAATTAAGATAGGAAGCTAAAATTTTGCACAGATCTCTCTTTTGTCTGCAGGCAAGTTCGAAGATGGGCCATATCGGTCCACGTTATCGTATAGCCCCCATATAACATTACCCCCCGATATAAGGTATTTTGATGATGTTAGCCACATTTTTCAATGGAATTGTCTAAAAAATCCACAGAAGGAATTCCTTGGGAGTACTTTATCCGTTTAAAGAGAATTATCTGTATAGGTCCACGATACCCTTTAGCCCCCATATAACGGTACCCCCGATATTTGGTATTTTGATGATTTCAGCCACATTTTACAATGGAATGGTCTGAAAATCCACACAAGGAGTTCATCGTCAGTACATTATCCCTTGGAAGAGAATTATCTATATAGGTCTACCATATCGTATAGCCTCCATATAACGGTACCCCCCGATTTTCGGTATTTTGATTGAGTTTAGCCACATTTTTCAACGGAATTGTCTGATATTCTACACAAAGAGTTCTTTGTGAGCGCTTTATCCCCTGAAAGGGAATTGTGTATATAGGCCCACAATTTAGTATACACGCCTATACAACGGTACACGATATTCTGTATATTGATGATTTTAGCCACATTTTCCAATGGTATTGTCTAAAAATCCACACAAGGAGTTCTTTGTGAGTACTTTATCCCCTGGAATATAATTATCTATATAGGTCCACGATATCGTATAGCCTCCATACAACAGTTCCCCACGATATTCGGTATTTTGATGAATATAGCCACATTTTTCAACGGAATTGTCTCAAATTCTACACAAGGGGTGCTTTGTGAGTGCTTTACCCCCAAACGTCGATTTGTCTATAAAGGCCCACAATATCTGATATCCCCCCATATGTAGGCACCTTCCGATGTTAGGTATTTTAAAGATTTTAACAGAATTTTTAATGGATTTTATTTTTTTGTTCGGCCCGGCCGAACTTACTGCTTTTTTGCTCGTTGCTTTTCATTTAATTTCACTATAATTTTTTTCTTTTTATTTTATAACTCGATTTATTTATTTTATTATTTTCTTATTAATTATCAACTCAATTATTTAATTTCCTTTTTTTCAAAATTTATTTCAATTTATTTATTTCCACTTATTTAAAAGTTGATTGTCATTTATATTTTTTTTCATTTATTTCTAAAACTAAATTCGAGTTCGCGTACCAAGGCTGCTGGCTATAGAAGGTCTCCCTTTTGAATAATTCTACTTGGGCGCGACGTTTCCTTGGATTTTTTTATTTGAGTATACAAATCCCGATCTTTTTATTGTGGGGTCTTATCCTTTACAGTTTAAGAGGGTGCCCCACGTTGGGGGCCAATTAAACAATTATTTAATAAGTTTTATTTTTTAAAAAGACCGGAGAGGTTGTTACACCGCGTGTTTATTATGAAATCAAATTTGTAACTAATTTACTTAACAAATTTAACTCGAAATGTCACATACGAAATTACTGTTATTTATGCTGACTTTGTATTTCCCACGATCACGCCACTGATATTTGATGATTGTGGAAAAGTGTTATTATTTCGGGTTGCGCGTGTTATGTTGGTTTGCTCATGTTGTAACTGGATCTGCTGTTATGGCATTGGTTCAGTTGCTCGTGTCCTCCCCCTTTAAATCCACACATCCTCGTGTGGGACTGTACTTTGCGTGCTTGTTGTATTAGAACAGTCAGCTATGAATACTTTTATGTTTGGGTTTACCATCATCATTTTTATACCCTCCACCATACTATGGAGGGTATATTAATTTTGTCATTCCGTTTGTAACTCCTCTAAATACTCATGTCAGACCCAACAAAGTATATATATTCTTGATCAGCGTAAAATTCTAAGACGATTTAGCCATGTCCGTCTGTCTGTCTGTCCGTCTGTCTGTCTGTCTGTTGTAATCACGCTATCTTTCGAACAAATTGAGATAGAAGGCTAAAATTTTGCACACATGTATATTTTGCCAGTAGGCAGGTTAAGTTCGAAAATGGGCCATGTAGGTTCACGTCTTCATATAGTCCCCATATAACGGTACCCCCCGAAATTCGGTATTTTGATGATTTTAGCGACATTATTCCCCGAAATTGTTCCAAATTTGGTATTTGAAGTTCGCAATAGATACTGCAGCATAAAACAGAAAATGGGCCATGTAGGTCCAAGTTATCATATAGCCCCCATATAACGGTACCTCCGGATATTCGGTATTTTGATGATTTTAGCGACATTATTCATCGGAATTGTTTCAAATTTGGCATTTGAAGTTCGGATACTACATCCTAAGTCAAAAAATGAGGCATGTAGGTCCACGTCTTCATATCGTACCCCCCGATATTCGGTATTTTGATAATTTTAGCGACACTATTTACCGGGATTGTTTCAAATTTTGCATGTTCGTAATGGATACTTCAGCCCATGCCAGAAATTTGTCTGTGCATATAAACAGATTTTTCTTCAAGTTTCGCATTTAAATATTGTAATAACTTATGACAAAAGTTACCTATGCAGGTCCACGTCGTCGTATAAGCATTCGGTATTTTTAAGATTTTAACAGAATTTTTAACTGATTTTATTTATTTATTTTTTTTTTTTGCGGAAATTGCCAAATTTGTACCAAGTGGTGGAGGGTATTAAAAGTTCGGCCCGGCCGAACTTACAGCTTTTTTACTTGTTTAGCTTTCCATACTAATTGGACCATCTTTGCAGGCTGGTGATTCATTAGGATCTAGATGGGGCTGGATAGGTTTGTTGGGAGTAGTTGAATGAGTTCTTCTCAAGTGATTAACGGCCAAAAGTGTTATTAATATTATAAATATAAACAGGAGAATGGTGCCAAGTATCAGACTTATGTTGTTCATTTCTCCACAATCTTCCAATCGATGAGAATTATTTTGGTTCATCTGATTTATAAATTCCAGTTGCTTGGTGGTTTTTGTAGGTTGCACTAGGGCTGGTATAGTATAGGGCAGATATACTTAATATCTGGGATGAAGTGTCCGTTTTTTATCTATGATATAAGTTATATTAAATCCTTCTGATGCTATTTTTACTCTCGAGAAATTTAGTAATTCGTCAATACTATTAAACAGAATGTGTTCTTTGTCAAAAATTTTATTAAGTGTTTCAATTTGGATAGCTGACAGTATGAATGAATTTATAACGTTTACTTAGCTCAATGAATCGCTAGTTCTATT